AAAAGGCAGAAGAATCAGAGATCAAATTGCCAACATCTGTTGGATCATAGAAAAAGCAAGAGAATTCCAGAAAAACATCTACTTCTGCTTCACTGACTATACTAAAACCTTTGACTGTGTGGATCACAACAAACCATAGAAATTCTTCAAGAGATGAGAATATCATACCACCTTACCTGCCTCTTGATAAAACTGTATGCAGGTCAAGAAGCAACCATTAGAACTGGAATGGAACAACAGACTGGTTCCAAATTGGGAAAGGAGTACGTCAAGGCTGTATATTGTCACCCTTCTTTTTTAACTTATATACAGAGTACATCATGCAAGATGCTAGGCTGGATGAAACACAAGCTGGAATCACGATTGCCAGGAGAAACATCAATAACCTCAGATATACAGTTGACAACACCCTTATGGGAGAAAGCGAAAAGGAACTAAAGAGCCTCTTGATGAAAGTGAAAGAGGAGAGTGAAAAAGCTGGCTTAAAACTCAACATTCACAAAACTAAGATTATGGTACCCCATCCCATCATTTCATGGCAAACAGATGGGCAAACAATGGAAACAGTGACAGACTTTATTTTCTTGGGCTCGAAAATCACTGCAGATGGTGACTGCAGCCATGAATTTAAAAGACACTTGCTCCTTGGAAGAAAAGCTATGACAACCTAGACAGCATATTAAAAAGCAGAGACATTACTTTGCCGACAAAGGTCCATCAGGTCAAAGCTATGGTTTTTCTGGTAGTTACGTATGGATGTGAGAATTGGACCATAAGGTAAGCTGAGTGCTGAAGAGTTTATGCTTTTGAACTGTGGTGTTGGAGAAGACTCTTGAGAGTCCCATGGACAGCAAGGAGATAAACCAGTCAGTCCTAAAGGAAATCAGTCCTGAATATTCACTGGAAGGACTGATGCTGAAGCTCCATTACTTTGGCTGCCTGATATGAGGAACTGACATTAGAAAAGACCTCGATGCTGGAAAGCTTGAAAGCAGTAGGAGGAGGAGACAACAGAGGACAAGATGGTTGGAAGGCATCCCCGACCTAATGGACATGAGGTTGAGCAAGCTCCAGGAGATGGTGAAGGATAGGGAAGCCTGGCGTGCTGCAGTTCATGGGGTCTCAAAGAATCAGACATGACAGAGCATCTGAGCAACAACATTCAGAAACAGAAGCTCAGAGGAAGCTCGGGTAATGCCAGGAATAAAAATAGGCCTGGTGCATCTTGCAATAATAGGTTTTTTTTTTTTTAAGTATTTTTCCTATACCTTGAAATATGAACTCATTCGAATCCAGGACACATATAATCTCTAGTCCTGTAAATTTCATATTTTAAGTCAAAATGGGCTTTCGTCTTTAGATATAGCTAAGTTTTTTTTTTTTTTTTCACTCTTGATATATTATTTCCTTCTCAGTTTCTGGTCTTCAGCTCTTTATTGACCAAATTTTTGTTTTCACATTAAAAAAGAGTTATAGCCATCAAAAGAAGCTTTTGATTGCTGACCTTTTTACTAGAAGTCCCATGAGTCTAAACTCTTACTCAAAAACTTTGGACCTGAACTTTATGTACTGAGTTTAGCATGAAGGCAGTGAAGACCTTTATTTGTCATGAGATACTATGTGACTTTGATCTGACCAAGTCAACTCTTTATTCTTCCTCAGGCATGTGAAGAAACAGCATGGATCTGACATGATCTTGTTGGCCATGTGATAACCAGTTTAAGAGTAGGGTTCTAGGCACATAATAGGGAAGTTTTTTTTTTTTTTTCAAGGAATGAAGAAAAAGCTTCTTTTATTTCACATTTGAACATTTTTATAAATGATGACATTTTCTTTGGTTCTGTTAATTGACACTCATAGAGGCAAAAAACGTGGTGATGATTTGCAATGTTTTCTTTTATTATTTTTATAATGGCTTTGGCATTTTCTGTTGGTTCAGAAGATTAATGTAAGCTAGCAAAGCCAGAGATGTATCTAATATTTTAATTTAGTTTCCATGGTGTGAAGGCACTTGGTCAGAATCTCGTAGCTTATTCTTGTTAGGTTCTGATACAGTGAACATCATGACTTTGTGATAAGACACCAGTATCAATGCCTAACAGCTGTCTGCTTCTAACCACATGTACCAATCTCCTAGAGAGAGAGAAGAAAGCATCTGAGTGTCAGATGGCTCTGAATCTAAACCACAAGCAGGACTGTGGACAGATCACCTTTACTACTAGGAAACTAGCTCCAGGAGGGCAAGGGTTTTTGTCTGTTTTGTACACTGCTGTGTCCTCAATGCCTAAAACAGTAACTGGTACATAGTAGGTGCTCAATAACTTGAATTACTTGCTGAATTTCATAACACACTTGCTGTGGGATGTGCGTATGTGCTAAGTCACTTCAGTCTGACTTCAGTGTCCGACTCTTTGCAGCCCTATAGACTGTAGCCTACCAGGCTCCTCTGTCCATGGGATTCTCCAGGCAAGAATACTGGAGTGGGTTGCCATGCCTTCCTCCAGGGGATCTTCCTGACCCAGGGATTGAACCTGAGTCTCCTACATCTCCTGCATTGGCAGGTGGGTTCTTTACCATTAGTGCCACCTGAAACCGTAGCCCAAAAGAAACTGATCTCAGGGAGACAGCAGTGAGCAGTCCTGAAGAGAGATCTTAGTTCCCTGCCAGGAATTGAACATGGGTGGCCTGGATGAAAACCAGGAATCCTAGCTACTAGACCATCAGGGATAATTCCATTTTAAAAAAAGCTTTTACTCCCACCCTTAAAGCCTGAGATGAGACCCTCAGCCTGTTCTAGAGGACCATGACAGAAACTCAGATGATTTAGGAATTATTTTTCCTTTGAAAAATAAAATATTTTTTTCAAATAGAGGTTTAATCTCCCACTGATAAAAAAATAAACAGGAACCACTAGCCAGAACTGCCATCTTCCAGGTTGAGAGTATCATCTCAGACTTGAGAATAGGAGAAAAAGCTCCTTTTAAACTGGAATTGTTGACACCATTTTATCCTAGTATATTGAGTACAATTTATTTTCAACAAAAATATATATGTGTATATATTTGTATATGTATTGACTATATAAAATGTCTATTATACACACACATACACGTATGATTTTTTAAAGTTCAGTTCAGTTCAGTCGCTCAGTTGTGTTCGACTCTTTGCGACCCCATGAACTGCAGCATGCCAGGCCTCCGTGTCCATCACCAACTCCCAGGGTCCACCCAAACCCATGTCCACTGAGTCCGTGATGCCATCCAACCATCTCATCCTCTGT